CCCGGGCCCGGGCCCGGGCCCCAGCCCTGCCCGGCCCCGCAGCGGTCGCTGCCTGAGGTGCGGTCAGAGGCGCTTACTGACAGAAAACATGGTCGGTCATGTTACCGCCTAACGATTTTAACACGTTAACGTGGCATAAATCCCCTCCTCCTGCGAGACTATCCCTAAGTTATGAGAAATCGTTTTGGAAATAACAATGATAAAGTCCCAAATTTACAAACAAACCCACGCCACTATCCTCCCCACAGCAGCCACAAAACTAAATTTTCAGACAATCCCAAAGACGGCAGTTTTTCCTTAAAGACCAGGGATTTTTCCTCCAGTTGTCCGTGGACGAACAGTAAGAAAAACAACGGTGGTAGCAGCAGAGTTAAATTCACTCTGCAGGGAGAAAGGAGAGCCAGGGCACCGGGAACTGTTCACAACCAACAGGCAGAAAGAAAACCCCAGAACCCTAGCTCTACCTTTCCAATCCAATTTTCACAAAAGTAACAGTTACAGCAGATATTTTCTTCAAAATATACGTTATATTTCTCAGGTGAGGCAAAATTTCCACCTGCCAATCAGTATTCCTCTCAATACTATTAGGGTTTACAGAACAAAGTCTCTTTAGCAAAATGTCAGCACCTGCCAGCTCACCTGTCTGCAATTACACTAAAAAACCAGGTCTATCACAGAAGAGATTACAGAAACACTGTGGAGTTCCCAATTGGATTTTTGTTTTAAGCAAGTCCCTTTAGTATACTGTTAACCATGCAGCTTCAGTACAGACAGTTCAATGTCTGCACATGTTTAATGTCATACTTCGCATCACATCTTTTTTTGCTTTTAATGAGACGTGGAAGTTCCTGAATCATGTACCTGACATTACAACTCAAAGTTTTACACAGCCTCATTTTGTAAGAAGTGACTGACTACATTGCTAAAGACATAACAGTGAAAGAAAAAACAACAACAACAACAAAAAAAACACCCCAGCTTTCAAAGGATGTTTTCCTCGCTGCTATTGATGTGAGAAGGGTTCTTCCACTCCAGGAGAGAATGCAATTATTTCAGATGGAAATCTATTGTTTATTACTAAGGATTTCAGTAAAGAGGACTAAAATTAAAAACAAAAACTAAGTCTCAATTTATACAGTGATGAACAGAACCACTGATGCATTTTGCAGTATCATCCCCAAAACTCATTTTTGCAGTCTGTCAGAAGAAACACCCTAACTTTGAGAAGCTAAACTACACAGACATCCTTAGTTACATATGGAGATGTGTTTTTCCAAAGGTCTAAGAATTGCACTGTTTGCATCAATCTTCACTGGCTCCAAATTAAAGTGTTGTCTTGAAAGTTTCCAAGTTCAGATTCTAAAGAAGGGCAATTAGAGTTTAGTCCCAAATGCATAAAATTTTCAACTAGATGTTACACAAATAACATTTATTTTTTCCACTGTTTATATTCTTATACAATTCTAAAAGCCAGCAATCATGAAAAGAAGACAAGAAACCTATGCAGAGAAACTCTACACTGACACACGGACAACACAAGGACACCAGTGACACCATCACTTACTTTCTACAAGGGAAGATTTTTTTTTTTTTTGTACTTCCAGCATTCACATACAAACTTCAAATCCTGAAAATAAATACCTGTCTCAGAGTGCTTCACAAGCACCCCAAAGAAAACTATCTACAAATGATACATTCAGCTACTCCGTAATTTTCAACACTTCCAACAATCGTTGCTTTTATAAGTCTGAACTTTCATAGCTGGGAAAGTTGTGTGTCAGCTACGTATTTAAGGAGCAATAATACTCATCATCCAAATACACTTTCCACTGTCACGTGGCTTTACCCAACGCTGTTCTACAGATAGGAAAAGCTTAAGAGATTTGTGCAAAAGAATCACTGTCAGACTCGATTCATGGCTCCTGATCGTGGGATCATACCATTACTTTGAAAGCAACTCAAAACCAGTCATCAGAGTACAGTTTGAATACTGACAATGGAATTCTGGTCCCCACACAAATCACTAGGAAGAAAGACCAGAATTTCACCCCGATATATAAAACCTTGTAGAGAAACATTAGTAAACAAAAGTTTTTAAGAGTCAGAAATAACTATAAAAAATCCTTGTAAGTCATAAAAACCATTTCAATGTGAAATTTGTAAAATATCACCCTATTTATTCTCTAGGCTTTTCTAGCAACATATGACTTTATCATAACATATCTGTAGAAATCTGATGATTAAGAAACAATAATTTTTCTTAAATGTAGTTACTTAAACATTTGCCAGTTTGGAAAGTTGAGCTAAAGTCTCTTTACAGAGCAAAAAATTGCACACAATTTTCAACCTTCTCACTTCCGATTCTCCATGTCATTGGGGGTATGGCACATAACAGTCTGGAGGGGAGCCAATGCTGCTCACTGGGCTCCGGGTATTTGACTCATAAGAATTTGGAGCAATTCCAACCACACCATCGTTTTGAGGGGTCTCTCCTTTCAAAAAGTCATCGTCTTCATCTTCGGAAGTACCCTGCATAAATTTAAAAGGATCAGTAAGAGCAGAAAGATACTCCAGGTCTCTATTAAAGATTTGGCAGAAGTAATGAATGCTGAGACCAAAAAGGGTATTTCTAAAACAAATTTCGAAATGTTGCAATAATCAAGTCTGCTAATCAAAATGCTACAGGGAAGTTTACAAAGCTACCAGTTCACAAAGCTACAACACCATAAAGTATTTTTGACACATTATCACAGGAAGGAAAGAAAACCACAACGTTTGAAGAACTCAAACAAAAATCTGACATAGGATAGACATTCTGCAAGAAGGTAAACAGACTACACAGGAGCTTTAGAAGGACATAATTCAGGACTTGGGTTGTACTACAATTGTCATGGCTAGTTGGAATGGTAAGAGAATTAGAGGTAGGGAACTAAGTCGTATCTACAAAGTGGATTTCCCAGTGACATCAGCATGTCTATATTCTGAGAGCATTCGTAAGTGTTCACAGTGGTCCTGTGCTGCCAAACTAACTCCTCTGCAGAAGAGAGGAAGTGTTCTCAAAGCAAGGATGGATCAATTCCTAAAGCTTCCTAGTTTCAATCACAGTTTCCCATAAATGTTTAGTGTACTTATATCTACTAAAAAAAAAAAAATCCTGCAATAGAAGCAGCTGAGAGAGATTTGGCAAAAGCTGAACTGCATTTTGATCAGAAAAGATTACCCTTTTAATGGGTTTCTTCAGATTCTCAAGATCTTCAGCACTCAGCTCCTCCCAAAACTGATAAAAAGGATCAATAGTCTTCTTTGATCTGAAAGAGGAATTAAAACACAGTATGAGTTAGTGTGTTCAGTAAAAGTCATATGTATTTCATTTTAATAATATAAAATGCTTGGCATTTTGATAGCCCTCTGTAGGGTTTTACAAACTATTCAATTAATCCCTATATAATCCCCAGTTAATCCCATAAAGAAATAACTCCATTTTGCTGATAGGTATAAATTACAGTTGTTTGCTTGAGGAGTTCTGATAGTCAGGTCTCCTAATTCCTAGCTGGGTATTTTTAACAGCTACACTATGCTCGCAAATAAGCATAATTTTCTTCCAAATTTTTAGAAGATAATATTATATGGCTTATTTTAGTAATTTCTACTTCTAGGAAAGGTCTCCCTTCAGGAAAGATGGATTTTTTTTTTTTTAAGAGACAAAAAAAGCCAGAATGTTGCCCTCTAACATAATAAGTGATTAAAGCATCATCGTGCTAGACATTTTGAAAAGCTGCAAATAATCCACTAGTCATTAAAAAAGCAAGGTATGTTAAATAAGCTGAAGTCTCCAATCAAGAAGCAATACACTCAAGGTGCAAAAAAACCAAACCAAAACAAACCAAAAAAAAGGTGACACAACACCATCACAGCTCCAACAAAATACGTATTAGGCTAACATTATGATACTTTAGAGACTGCTTAAAACAAGGAAAGTCAAAAGAAAAGTCACCAAACATTAACTAGACCTTCCAGGAATCTGGGTCCTGTTTCTTCTTCATCACTATATGTCACAGTGGGGGTAAATTTCAATTCAAACCTTTGACAATCTCTGGTTAAAATATGCAACGTGAA